TAAACAGCATAACTTCTACAATAATGGCCCGATCATGCCGCTTTTTGAACTTGACCTGCGTTTTATGAATATTCATCAGCTCTGTAAATATAAAGCCAAAAAGTAAAACTGCCCTCCACTTATCGTGTTAACAAGGAAAGTGCACGGCGCCGGCATTGGCGACGGCATCGGCGACGACAGACGCAGGTGATGGCAATACGTACAGACACATCTGTGTCTGTACATAAAAATGTAAACTATAGATCTATATTTATAATATTAATATGTATTTCCATAAGTTACTTGGAATAACTTTTATTCTGAAGAAATATTACGAGTGGAAAAGTTGCTTCACAATGATTTGTTGCCTCAAACAAAAAGTACACTGCAGAATACACTAAAATTGTCATAAGCTTGGATCACAATTATAAAACACTTGCTGTTGATGAAAATACTACTTAGTTTACAACTGGTCTCTAAACATAATTGCTTACATTCATAACATCGCTAACTGAAAAAGCACCAGATGATGAATTTCCCATAACCACTTAAAATTTAAAATAAAAGTAGTTCTCTTTGTTTCATATATATATATATATATATATATATATATATATATATATATATATATATATATATATATATCAAAACATTCAATCTGAGGACTGGATTTGTTAAAACAAAAGCTGTTATTGAATGTTTGAATAATTCGGCCAATAGTATCTATCAGGGTTATTCCCATAAGGTCCAAACTGTCCACCTTCCCCTTGAGAATAAATATTATGTTTGTTATATTCGTGACCTCTGTAGCCTCTGAAATCCTCTCTTATCCTTCCACTGCCCCCTCTGTAACCATCATGATGCCATCTTCTCTCTACAAAATTTCCATTTTCCCATCTACTTCCTCCATATCCATCACTGCTGCCTCCAAATTCCTCTCCATTTCCTCCATATCCGTTTCTACTGCCTCTATATCCGTCTCTATTTCCTCCATATCTGTCTCTGTTGTCTCCACGTCCCTCTCTAAATCCTCCATACCCCCCTCTACTACCTCCATATCCCCCTCTACTGCTTCTATATCCCTTTCTATTGCCTACATATCCCTCTCTACTGTTTCCATTATTTTTTAAGTTCGATATCCATTTGCCACTGTCCTTTTCATACTGTCTGTTGTATACATTATATCTATTGTCATATTGATACCCAGACCAGCCACTTTGATTTGGTTGGAAAGCACCCTGTTCTCTAAAATTTCTGTTCTGATGTTGATAAGGAACATTCCTGTTCCTACCATGTGTTTTTTCATGGCATTTCCATTTACCACGGTGGGACCTGCCTTGCATTGGTTCCTCATCTAAATGTGACCTAAAACCAAGATTTGAAACATATTTCAAAGAAAAGCAAAGAGAAGTTTCAGTAGTGGTAAGTTGGTACATGAATCACTTACTCAATAGAAATTGGTGTTCATTTTTGTTAATTGTATTAGTGCCTATCATTTTGTAAAAAATCAAATAATTCGGAAAAACATTAAATAAAACATTTACATAAAAAAATTATTTCAATGCAAGATTACTTACACACTTTCACCTCTTAAATGAGCTAGGTAGTTTTCTCTCTCTATCTTATGACCCCGTGCTTCATTAAATGCTGTCAGACAAGAAATTTATACAATTAATTCTCAATTTATCAAAAATTAGTATTTCATATTTGTGCCTGTATGCATGTATATATATAACAATAACATTTCTATGTATTTATTCGCATTTTAAGAACTGAATTTATCTTGAGACATTTTCTTATTCACGGCAATATTACCTTGAATGGCTTCATCAGGACTGACCCCAAGCTTGTCTATCATATACCTAAATGAAAATAATAGCAAATCAAGACATCAAATGATAACTCTCTTTTACAAACAAATGACCTCAACACACAGGTGAGCTTTTCATCACAACTTCATTCTGTTCAGATGAAAATCTCTCAGAGTGCACACACAGAAGCAAACGGTTTTTTTATTGAGTTAACTGAAGTTTCGCAACTGTGATCTAGGACATATTTGTTTAATATGACGTTAAAATAATTTTCAATCATTGTCCTTGTAGCCATTTATAGTAGTTGCCTGTGCACACATAATATGCATGAATGCTGCAATATATACAAAAATATGTTAATATAAATATACATACACACCTGCAGATTAGATGACCAGACCTGTTTACTCCATGAGTACAATGAACTCCTAAGAGAAGATCTGCAAATATGCATTTATTTAACTTTAATAGCAGTAGCCATAACTTGTTGATTACTTAACCAGTCATTTCAAATGGAATACTTTTAAATTCAAGTCTAGATTAGATGTTTATCCTCGAAATATACTTGCACAAGTGATAAAAAAAACAGATATGTACAAAGCATATGATCCAACAACAACTTTTTTGATGTGGTGGGTGGCCACATTTGAAACTGAATTTGACTTACCAGTGCCTTTATTTCTCTCCAAGAAACTGCTCACCATATTGGCAAAACTATAATAAATTGCATATCATCAGACATAACATTTGCAGCTAATAAATGCACTTCATTACTGATAATAATCAAATGTACATACAAGCTCTCATTCTGACATGTATTGTTTACAGTTTAGCAAATGATATTAAATGACATTTATAAATCAAACAGGCATAATGCAGATTAAATGAAAATTTTGAATATTTATCTCTTTTATGCACTATGCTCTTGTTCTGAACATACCTATCAATGACATCCTTGCTTGGAACAACATGTCCAACTGTATTTAGCTTGTTATATTCAATCCCACAACTTTTTATTTCCTGCAAATATATATTTAAATATATATAACCACAGGCACTTACAATTCTTTTATTACTGAGTAAAAAACTTTGGTATACTCATCCAACTTTATCTTCAGTTTTAAAGTCACTATCAGTGAAATACTTTTGCAGAAAGTTTTTCCTAAGGAACTGTTGTTTACACATTTAAAAAATTGGTTTACTACTTTATACTACAAAAGATTACTAAATGATTTTTACAAATTACTATATGTGTGCCTATGAAGAGCAGACAGCTGCCAAATATCATGTTGCTTTGGCAAACAAATAAGAACTTCTAGTTCAATCTAAAAAAAGTAAATGATGCCCAGAGTTTGAGAGAAAAAACATATAATCTGAAACAAAACTGATGACTTACCTGAGGATCATAATAACGTTGAGTGTTGGTTAAATCAATGATTGCTCCAAGCTTCTTGCCCTTAGCTGATAGTTTCTCAACCAGCATGGATGGAGTGAACCTAACAACACATAAGTACATATGTATCAAACTGTTGGTAACTGCTACATGTTAATATGACATTTAGGTCTTTATGCAATTGAGGCTATATATATATATATATATATATATATATATATATATATATATATATATATATAGTCTGAGTCATAGTCATTCAGTCATTGAGGGCAATTTTACCACTGACAACACACCGGGGATCCCTACAAGCCCTGACATAATAACAGATAAATAAATAATTAAATAAACAAGGGGCTATAATTACCTAAGTTTGTTTTAAATTTGCCAAAAACATGGAAAACATATTAGATTGAAACACCAGAATATATCTTAAGAATAGTAAAGGTTCCTACCACTGACTTCTGTCATCCAACTTTCGACAAATGCTCTGAAAATTAAACAAAAACACAGCTTTACATCAATACTGATCCATTATACTTTCGTTAAATCATACAATCTTTTGTTTTGTGTACTCATTTTTCTGACTGCAAACAGATGGTGATATGTCCCTTTTATGATGCAAGTTATACGGATAAAAAATTATCTAAATATCTGTCAATTAAGAATTTTTTTCAACACACTATTCACCTCTTTCAGTGGCACTTTAAATGCAATGAATTTTGTTCCTTTAATGGGGTCACAGAACGGTTCATATACCTCCCACCTAAAAAAACGAAAAGTAAAATATTAACATCTGTACTCTGGTCTGACTTTTCAAATTTTCTCTGTCACTCTATGTACCTCTATGACTTTTTAATAAAACTCTGGCCTGACCAAAATATAATTTCATACATTCAAATCCAATATTAGAACCTCAATACACACTTCCAACATGTTATTCCAAGTTTAAAATAATAAAATATCATGAATTGGAGCTTTAAATATTCACCACCTAAAATGAACTCAGTTTTCATCATGTGTATTTGAATGGACTAGAATTATAAAGTCCCCACATAACTAAAGTTAAGAAAAATATAACAAATCAAAGATGTATGGGGTAGGGGTTAGAGAATACTATAAAGTACTAAAATTGTTTAACTTTACCTATTATCCATGCACATATATTACTCTGTTTGACAAACTACTAAAATCAAAGGTCGAATATAATGTTATACCTTTTTGAAAATAGCATCTCAAATAATGATTGTGCCTGTAGACCTACTTCTTCAGTATGCCCAAAAAAATTAAAAGCCATTGATTTTCAGTGTTTTTGTGAATTCAATTATGTGGTGACTTTTACCAATGTATCTGCTATTCAAATAAATTATTTTAAAAAGTTGATGTTTTTAATGTATTTACAAGAAAATTCAATATAAAACGAGCAAAGGTCATTTCTGGGGCAAGCATTGCTAAATCCATAATTAAATAATTGCCAAGCTAATTAATTTGAATAGGAGAGGCACCAATTAAAGCCACCAAATAACCATATTTTGAAAAGACATAGGTACTGTAATACAAGACTTGCATGCAGAAGTTTGGGGTCACTAAAAATCTTTATAATTTATCTAATTGCCATAGCTATTTCATTCAAACTGTTTATTCATATTCAGATATGTGGCTATCTGTGTACCAAAATTCAAGTCACTAGCATTTTAAAAATATCGGACTCCAGACTCCACTGAAATAAATTACGAATGTTGGAAAGACCAACGCCACATCATCTGTTGTGTTGTGTACTTGTAGGCTACCGAAACCTGCCTTTCATCAGTATTTCTATTGTTTTTTTTTTTTAATCCCACATTACCTGTCTGGTACATCTCTTCTTTTTACTCTACCCATTTAAAGAAATCAAATCCAATCCCAAAAATTGAAAAAAGTTGACAACTTTACGAGATGGACGCAACGGTGGGATAAAACGTGAGTGAATGAAAAGACAATAACTATGCATCGATATGTAATAATGCTGGTTAATCAGGAAGCAATATTTGCATTGTAATTTGTCAAAAAGATAAATATTCAAGTGAAAGCCTGCCCTACGACTGTGTAGATAAAATAGCAAAGTATGTTAAACATATTATATCATTCACTTTATATCATTTGAATAACGAGTTGAACAAACGGCGATTTTTTTTTATTGCATCAGGTGTGCTGCGGTGCTCTGATTGTGCCACTGAATGAGATGAGTAATGGCTGCAAAATTTGTAGGTACTTGACGTATTAAATCGTGCGAATATCCAGTAACCCGAGGCGCTTGCTTAAGGTATGAACGACGTTACCATGCATTAGATTAAGTATATTATTTCTAGACTTCGGACATAGTATTTTAATCCCAAACTGGCAGCGGAATGAACCGGCTTAGCTGCGCTATGTTTACCGGATTGTTTTAAACCGTTTATAATTTATTAACATAAGTGCAGTACATCTTGTTACTACATCCACTTGTCTAGTTTATGTTTTATACTATCCATTTTAACAGTAAAAGTGATGTGTGAATAACGTTATCACTGAATCTTTATTGATAAACACCTTCACACAGAAGGAAACCTCATTAAACCTTGATATTATTAATATCCAAAATCATTTTTTAAGTTTTTTTTTCTTAGCCCAAAGATGTCAATTAAAATTGGCACCAAGGTAGAAGTGATTGGAAAGGGGGTGGTTGGCACTGTTGCTTACATAGGAGCCACCTTATTTTCTAGTGGTGAGTTATATCCATCGGTGGTATGATGGCATATAATCAATATGGGGAACTCACTGATCAGAAACTTGAAATATTAAGAGTCACAGATTTAGCAAAAAAAAAAAAACACCCATAAGATTCCAAGTTATAATGATTATGTTGAAAGAACAGTCCTAAATGCTTAGAATCACTCTTTTTTATCTAATATAATGTTACAAAAGACAAAAATATGGATATATTCAGATCAGTGTTTTTCATGATTAAAATATGCAATCTTGAATTATTTGTAAAAAAAAAAAAAAAAAAGATTTCCACCAAGTTGTAACTATTTCATTGTTTTATGGACATCATTTGAACTCAATAGATGTTGTTGATTTATTCAGATTTATAAATGTTTTTCAGGTAAATGGGTAGGTGTTATTCTGGATGATGCTAAAGGCAAAAATAATGGTACTGTGCAAGGCAAGAAGTACTTCACATGTGAAGATAACCATGGGATATTTGTTAGACAATCACAGGTATACTTTAAATTTTGCTTTTATCAGTACATGTATTTTCATTTTAAATTTTATTTACATTAAAATTATCAAAATTAAGTCAAAAATGCAGAAAAGATTCATTGATAATGTGAAGGAACATTGCAGTGCAGAGTTTACTTCAGTATTACAGTTTTTATATTAATCCCGTGGAACGTCTTCTTATACCTGCTTGCATATTCCAGATTGCTCCCATAGATGGCTCATCGGGCGAGTCCCCATCCACCCCAGGGGAGGCTCCTCAAGCAGCCACACCCACCTCTGAAGCCACCCCAGCCAGACCCCCACCATCTGAAAAGAAACAGGGCAGGATCTCTGGTCTCAGACCACCAAGCAAAGTGTCCAGTGAGCATGGTTTCTGTGTTGTATTACTATTAGTACTGTATTGGTACTTGTGTAAAGACATTATTTTATGAATTTTTGGTATTTAGCTTTTGTTTTACCTAATGTACAATTTTTGACTTAAGTTGATTTTCAAACAAAAATTATTGTAAAATAAATGTTTGTCCCTTTTTAGGCAGGGAAGACTTGGCCCAGGCTGCTAAGGGCAAAGATGGCAGTCCTACGACCCCAGCAGAGGAGGAGGCACTAGGGTCAAAGCCAGAAAGCAAAAGGAGGTCTTTGTCTCAGGTAAATAATGATTGTATTGAATAAGGATTCCCATTTTCTCTCAAAATTTGAAAACCTGGTAAAATGTCAAAGAAATAGTGAATGTACTCAGTAGCCAGTAGATATGTAAAATAAGAACTTGTACTCCAAGACATTAAGGAAGGTTTTACTGACAGAATTATCTTGGTATAGAATGTCGGTGTGTTTTTGAAAGTAAATATATGTGTTGCTTGTTTGAAGACTACAGATGGGAAAAAGAAAAGACCTCTTTCACAGGTAAAGTATAAGTATGTTGTCAGTGCATGGCTGTAATAGAATCCAGTTTGTCTGATCACAGTTTTCTCTCGTCAGAAAAAGCCTCTCTGGATTTATCATACCCAAAGTTGTGTACTTTTCAGTTTGCTAGGACNGTTAACGCTGAAAGTGCACGGCGACGGCGACGGCGACGGCGACATGATCGGCGACGGCGACGGCGACGACAGACGCAGGTGATGGCAATATGTACAGACACATCTGTGTCTGTACATAAAAAGTAAATGATGCCCAGAGTTTGAGGGAAAAAACATATAATCTGAAACAAAACTAATGACTTACCTGAGGATCATAATAACGTTGAGTGTTGGTTAAATCAATGATTGCACCAAGCTTCTTGCCCTTAGCTGATAGTTTCTCAACCAGCATGGATGGAGTGAACCTAACAACACATAAGTACATATGTATCAAACTGTTGGTAACTGCTACATGTTAATATGACATTTAGGTCTTTATGCAATTAAGGCTATATATATATATATATATATATATATATATATATATATATATAGTCTGAGTCATAGTCATTCAGTCATTGAGGGCAATTTTACCACTGACAACACACCGGTGATCCCTACAAGCCCTGACATAATAACAGATAAATAAATAATTAAATAAACAAGGGGCTATAATTACCTAAGTTTGTTTTAAATTTGCCAAAAACATGGAAAACATATTAGATTGAAACACCAGAATATATCTTAAGAATAGTAAAGGTTCCTACCACTGACTTCTGTCATCCAACTTTCGACAAATGCTCTGAAAATTGAACAAAAACACAGCTTTACATCAATACTGATCCATTATACTTTTGTTAAATCATACAATCTTTTGTTCTGTGTACTCATTTTTCTGACTGCAAACAGATGGTGATATGTCCCTTTTATGATGCAAGTTATATGGATAAAAAATTATCTAAATATCTGTCAATTAAGTTTTTTTCAACACACTATTCACCTCTTTCAGTGGCACTTTAAATGCAATGAATTTTGTTCCTTTAATAGGGTCACAGAATGGTTCATATACTTCCCACCTAAAAAAACGAAAAGTAAAATATTAACATCTGTACTCTGGTCTGAATTTTCAAATTTTCTCTGTCACTCACACTGTACATGTACCTCTATGACTTTTTAATAAAACTCTGGCCTGACCAAAATATAATTTCATACATTCAAATCCAATATTAGAACCTCAATACACACTTCCAACATGTTATTCCAAGTTTAAAATAATAAAATATCATGAATTGGAGCTTTAAATATTCACCACCTAAAATGAACTCAGTTTTCATCATGTGTATTTGAATGGACTTATAAAGTCCCCACATAACTAAAGTTGAAGAAAAATATAACAAATCAAAGATGTATGGGGTAGGGGTGAGAGAATACTATAAAGTACTAAAATTGTTTAACTTTACCTATTATCCTTGCACATATATTATTCTGTTTGACAAACTACTAAAATCAAAGATTGAAAATAATGTTATACCTTTTTGAAAATAGCATCTCAAATAATGATTGCGCCTGTAGACCTACTTCTTCAGTATGCCCAAAAAATTAAAAGCCATTGATTTTCAGTGTTTTTGTGAATTCAATTATGTGGCGACTTTTACCAATGTATCTGCTATTCAAATAAATTATTTTAAAAGTTGATGTTTTTAATGTATTTACAAGAAAATTCAATATATAACGAGCAAAGGTCATTTCTGGGGCAAGCATTGCTAAATTCATAATTAAATTGCCAAGCTAATTAATTTGAATAGGAGAGGCACCAATTAAAGCCACCAAATAACTAAATTTTGAAAAGACATAGGTACTGTAATACAAGACTTGCATGCAGAAGTTTGGGGTCACTAAAAATCTTTATAATTTATCTAATTGCCATAGCTATTTCATTCAAACTGTTTATTCATATTCAGATGTGTGGCTATCTGTGTACCAAAATTCAAGTCACTAGCATTTTAAAAATATCGGACTCCAGACTCCACTGAAATAAATTACGAATGCTGGAAAGCCCAACGCCACATCATCTGTTGTGTTGTGTACTTGTAGGCTACCGAAACCTGCCTTTCATCAGTATTTCTATTGTTTTTTTTTTAATCCCACATTACCTGTCTGGTACATCTCTTCTTTTTACTCTACCCATTTAAAGAAATCAAATCCAATCCCAAAAATTGAAAAAAAAAGTTGACAATTTTACGAGACGGGCGCAGCGGTGGGATAAAACGTGAGTGAATGAAATGACAATAACTATGCATCGATATGTAATAATGCTGGTTAATCAGGAAGCAATATTTGCAATGTAACTTGTCAAAAAGATAAATATTCAAGTGATAGCCTGCCCTACGACTGTGTAGATAAAATAGCAAAGTATGTTAAACATATTATATCATTCACTTTATATCATTTGAATAACGAGTTAAACAAACGGCGATTTTTTTTATTGCATCAGGTGTGCTGCGGTGCTCTGATTGTGCCACTGAATGAGATGAGTAATGGCTGCAAAATTCGTAGGCACTTGACGTATTAAATCGTGCGAATATCCAGTAACCCGAGGCGCTTGCTTAAGGTATGAACGACGTTACCATGCATTAGATTAAGTATATTATTTCTAGACTGCGGACATAGTATTTTAAACCCAAACTGGCAGCGGAATGAACCGGCTTAGCTGCGCTATGTTTACCGGATTGTTTTAAGCCGTTTATAATTTATTAACATAAGTGCAGTACATCTTGTTACTACATCCCCTTGGCCAGTCGATGTTTTATACTATTCATTTTAACAGTAAAAGTGATGTGTGAATAACGTTATCACTGAATCTTTATTGATAAACACCTTCACACAGAAGGAAACCTCATTAAACCTTGATATTATTAATATCCAAAATCATTTTATAAGTTTTTTTTTAGCCCAAAGATGTCAATTAAAATTGGCACCAAGGTAGAAGTGATTGGAAAGGGGGTGGTTGGCACTGTTGCTTACATAGGAGCCACCTTATTTTCTAGTGGTGAGTTATATCCATCGGTGGTATGATGGCATATAATCAATATGGGGAACTCACTGATCAGAAACTTGACATTTTAAGAGTCGCAGATTTAGCAAAAAAACACCCATAAGATTCCAAGTTATAATGATTGTGTTGAAAGAACAGTCCTAAATGCTTAGAATCACTCTTCTTTTATCTAATATAATGTTACAAAAGACAAAAATATGGATATATTCAGATCAGTGTTTTTCATGATTAAAATATGCAATCTTGAATTATTTGTAAAAAAAAAAAAAAAAAAAAAAAAGATTTCCACCAAGTTGTAACTATTTCATTGTTTTATGGACATCATTTGAACTCAATAGATGTTTTTGATTTCTTCAGATTTATAAATGTTTTTCAGGTAAATGGGTAGGTGTTATTCTGGATGATGCTAAAGGCAAAAATAATGGTACTGTGCAAGGCAAGAAGTACTTCACATGTGAAGATAACCATGGGATATTTGTTAGACAATCACAGGTATACTTTAAATTTTGCTTTTATCAGTACATGTATTTTCATTTTAAATTTGATTTACATTAAAATTATCAAAATTAAGTCAAAAATGCAGAAAAGATTCATTGATAATGTGAATAATTAAGGAACATTGCAGTGCAGAGCTTACTTCAGTATTACAGTTTTTATATAAATTCTGATTGCTCCCACAGATTGCTCCCATAGATGGCTCGTCGGGCGAGTCCCCATCCACCCCAGGGGAGGCTCCTCAAGCAGCCACACCCACCTCTGAAGCCACCCCAGCCAGACCCCCGCCATCTGAAAAGAAACAGGGCAGGATCTCTGGTCTCAGACCACCAAGCAAAGTGTCCAGTGAGCATTGTTTCTGTACTTATTGTGTTGTATTACTATTAGTACTGTATTGGTACTTGTGTAAAGACGTTATTTTATGAATTTTTGGTATTTAGCTTTTGTTTTACATAATGTACAATTTTTGACTTAAGTTGATTTTCAAACAAAAATTATTGTAAAATAAATGTTTGTCCCTTTTTAGGCAGGGAAGACTTGGCCCAGGCTGCTAAGGGCAAAGATGGCAGTCCTACGACCCCAGCAGAGGAGGAGGCACTAGGGTCAAAGGTAGAAAGCAAAAGGAGGTCTTTGTCTCAGGTAAATAATGATTGTATTGAATAAGGATTCCCATTTTCTCTCAAAATTTGAAAACCTGGTAAAATGTCAAAGAAATAGTGAATGTACTCAGTAGCCAGTAGATTTGTAAAATAAGAACTTATACTCCAAGACGTTACGGAAGGTTTTACTGACAGAATTATCTTGGTATAGAATGTCGGTGTGTTTTTGAAAGTAAATATATGTGTTGCTTGTTTGAAGACTACAGATGGGAAAAAGAAAAGACCTCTTTCACAGGTAAAGTATAAGTATGTTGTCAGTGCATGGCTGTAATAGAATCCAGTTTGTCTGATCACAGTTTTCTCTCATCAGAAAAAGCCTTTCTGGATTTATCATACCCAAAGTTGTGTACTTTTCAGTTTACTAGGCCTGCAAATAAATTCACTACTACTATTATATTAGATGAATATCCATTTACCAGGATAAATACAATTTTCTTTTTCAAAGTAAATATTTTGATTTATATTGATATACATTATGAAAATTATATTGAGAACAGAAATATGTACAGTGCAATGATTAGGGAAAACTGTGAAGAAGGGTTAACTATTATGTCAAACCCACTTAATAGAAATATATTGCATGTTGTCTACTAAATGTGAAATGACCATATTATATTACTAAGGTGGAAGATATAATTGAAAAAAAAATGCTTTTTTAGCAATGTAACCAACAGTTATTTAAATGTAATTCAACATTACATGCTAGAGTTTAAATGTATATGTTTCAAAATTGTATTTCCAACTCTTGATTATTTTAAGGGCAAGTTTTTAAAACAATTATAAAAACAATTGAAATAGCCCAGCTAAGACCAGCACATTTATGGGGCTGTATGTTTCTATTCTTTCTGTTTTCTTTATTCATATATATTAGCTTTACTATATATCTTGAATTTCCTTTAACCAAAGCCTTGGTTTATATTTGCATGACAGATGTGCCTTTATTAGCTGTAGACCAACACTTGATTTTTTTATTTATGGGATCTTAAACCATGAAGAATGTACAATCTACCTGCAAAAGTGTCTTAATTTGTCTGATTTGTAATTTCTTCCCAACAGCCTCATACAATACTTAACATCCTTTATTTGTATACGTGTAAACTAAGCTTTTTGTTTAATGAGAAGTGCTGGCACAGAATAATTTACAATATGATAAGAGGCAGGTTATTTATGTGATTACTTTTTATTATATACACTCAAATTCAAAATAAGACTACACCCCAAAATAAGATTACACATCTATTTGTTGTGTACAATTGCATTAAGGTATTATAGGTAGATCTAAGTTGGTTTTATAATGATCTTTAAATCAGGAACACTGGTTTGTGAATCATCCTAATAAAGTACCAATTTTTTCAATGTTTATGCCACTGCCTTATTTATTTATTTATTTATTTTAAAGAATACTTTGAGACAAAATCTTACACATTTTTTATTCATACTTGTGCGTTTTGCAGGCTTCAGCTGCTGATATATCAGTGATGTCAGCTAGCATTGACAGCCAGATGAGCAGTCTTCAGCAACAGCAGGAAGTGGAGAACTACAAGGCAGATATCAAAGACCTGGAGGAAAAACTGGAAACATTGAAATTGAAGAGAGCAGAAGATAAAGTAAAATTGAAGGAGTTTGAAAAAGCCAAGATACAACTTCAGCAGGTATGATATCCTGTAGTATCTCAGACATGCTGAAAACTTTTCAGAATGGCCAGACATTTGGACCGGCAGTAATGAAAAATTTTTGGACCGAATGGATTTTTGTCGGACCGGAAATCACTCTATTCGTTTGAGACAGATACTACCAGTACGATTAGGGTAGCTTACTTTGTTTGTGAATGTGATAGTTTTGAAATGGAAGGGAAAAAAACGCTTTAGATAATTTTATTAGTGAAGTATGTCGAAAGATGACTGTAAATTCAAAATTGCGGTTTTTAACACTCTTGTCGGTCCTTTGGACCGACCAAGTCCAATTTTCTACCGGTCCAGACAAATTTTTCCAGTCATGACCGATCAGACCGACAGTTTCAGCATGTCTGGTATCTGTGATATAAACAAAATTGGACATTTTTCTGCAATTTACCTTTAATCCTCAGCAAGGCTACAACACAGATCAAGTTTATAATTTTATGGGCTTCATTATTTAAGTGTTTTAAAGATCATATAGATTTATATTATTCTAAGCAGGCATTTCAATGTGTAGCAGCATTTGTTCTGCTTTGGAATTTTATTCTCCGTTTTATAAGGTGATTCCCAAGTTTTAAGACTGACGTTTGTTTATCATCCAGTCTTGATACAGACACTAGGCCATACATTTGTATATATATTTTCTTTTAGCTTCAAGAATACAAAACTAAGATGCAAGAGTTGCAAACAGATTTGCAAAGACAGTTGCAAGCTTCTAAAAAGGTATGTAAAAAGTAAATATTGATTACCTTAAAAAGATAGAAAACAAAGGTAATTACTTTGTACTCACATCTCATTAGCATTTTTTTTTTCAGTCTAAAGGTAAATGACAACCTATAAGGAAATTGTGAAATATGTATACATGTTTATTGTGTATAAGTACGGATCTCTTTATAGGAAGCAAAAGATGCCCAAGAAGCTTATGATCGTTACAAAGATGAAATGTCAGACCTTGCAGAAACAGTGGAAATAGCCACTTTGGACAAAGAAATGGCAGAAGAAAAGGTGAAAATTTTATGTAAAATGTTTCCAAATATTCACACTGTGAAATTGTTAACTTGTTTTGTTTGGTGTATTTTGAAGTATTATTGATGTATTTTGAAGGCTGACTTTTAATGATGTATAAGTATAAATGTTTGATCAATTAAAAGAATGTGCTATTCTTTTTTCAGTGTGAAAATTTGCAGTTAGAAGTTGATTCTTTGAAGGAAAAAGTGGAAGAGCTCACTTTGGATTTGGAGATTATGAAGGAAGACTTGAGTAAATCAGGTTGTAAAAGGCAGTTGATTTATACTTGTTGCTATTCATAGATGCTTGCATTTTAAATGTCATTTGTACATTGTAACTTAAGGTATACAAAATGTACATGTGTATCAATGATAGCTTTTTTAACACAAACTGTGCTTGTAGTGCCCATTACATAAATTAATTTGGTGACTAATTCTCTGGAACGCCCAATGTTCCTCAATCAAAAACTTTTAATTCAATATTGATTGAGGTCATTTGCATATATGTATTATTAGTGTTTATAAGAACTGCTATATTTTCCCCAGGCACAGAGGGTGGGGCCACTAACTACCAAGTTAAACAAATGGAGCAGCAAAATGAGCGACTGAAGGAGGCCTTGGTTAAGTGAGTAATTCAGTTGTTTTAATATAGGTTCCTTGCTGTGCAGTTACAAGTTGAAATTAATTAGTACCACCAGCGTATANCGTACTTGTGCGTTTTGCAGGCTTCAGCTGCTGATATATCAGTGATGTCAGCTAGCATTGACAGCCAGATGAGCAGTCTTCAGCAACAGCAGGAAGTGGAGAACTACAAGGCAGATATCAAAGACCTGGAGGAAAAACTGGAAACATTGAAAGTGAAGAGAGCAGAAGATAAAGTAAAATTGAAGGAGTTTGAAAAAGCCAAGATACAACTTCAGCAGGTATGATATCCTGTAGTATCTCAGACATGCTGAAAACTTTTCAGAATGGCCGGACATTTGGACCGGCAGTAATGAAAAATTTTTGGACCAAATGGATTTTTGTCGGACCGGAAATCACTCTATTCGTTTGAGACAGATACTACCAGTACGATTAGGGTAGCTTACTTTGTTTGTGAATGTGATAGTTTTGAAATGGAAGGGAAAAACACGCTTTAGATAGTCTTATTAGTGAAGTATGTCGAAAGATGACTGTAAATTCAAAATTGCGGTTCTTAACACTCTTGTCGGTCCAATTTTCTACCGGTCCAGACAAATTTTCCCGGTCATGACCGATCGGACCAACAGTTTCAGCATGTCTGGTATCTGTGATATAAACAAAATAGGACATTTTTCTGCAATTTACCTTTAATCCTCAGCAAGGCTACAACACAGATCAAGTTTATAATTATATGGGCTTCATTATTTAAGTGTTTTAAAGATCATATAGATTTATATTATTCTAAGCAGGCATTTCAATGTGTAGCAGCATTTGTTCTGCTTTGGAATTTTATTCTCAGTTTTATAAGGTGATTCCCAAGTTTCAAGACTGACATTTGTTTATCATCCAGTCTTGATACATACACTAGGCCATACATTTGTCACTTCCCCTGGGTTTTGTGTTAAGAGTATATATATTTTCTTTTAGCTTCAAGAATACAAAACTAAGATGCAAGAGTCACAAACAGATTTGCAAAGACAGTTGCAAGCTTCTAAAAAGGTATGTAAAAAGTAAATATTGATTACCTTAAAAAGATAGAAAACAAAGGTAATTACTTTGTACTCACATCTCATTAGCATTTTTTTTTCAGTCTAAAGGTAAATGACAACCTATAAGGAAATTGTGAAATATGTATACATGTTTATTATGTCTAAGTACGGATCTCTTTATAGGAAGCAAAAGATGCCCAAGAAGCTTATGATCGTTACAAAGATGAAATGTCAGACCTTGCAGAAACAGTGGAAATAGCCACTTTGGACAAAGAAATGGCAGAAGAAAAGGTGAAAATTTTATGTAAAATGTTTCCAAATATTCACACTGTGAAATTGTTAACTTGTTTTGTTTGGTGTATTTTGAAGTATTATTGATGTATTTTGAAGGCTGACTTTTAATGATGTATAAGTATAAATGTTTGATCCGTTAAAAGAATGTGCTATTCTTTTTTCAGTGTGAAAATTTGCAGTTAGAAGTTGATTCTTTGAAGGAAAAAGTGGAAGAGCTCACTTTGGATTTGGAGATTATGAAGGAAGACTTGAGTAAATCAGGTTGTAAAAGGCAATTGATTTATACTTGTTGCTATTCATAGATGCTTGCATTTTAAATGTCATTTGTACATAGTAACTTAAGGTATACAAAATGTACATGTGTATCAATGATAGCTTTTTTAACACAAACTGTGCTTGTAGTGCCCATTACATAAATTAATTTGGTGACTAATTCTCTGGAACGCCCAATGTTCCTCAATCAAAAACTTTTAATTCAATATTGATTGAGGTCATTTGCATATATGTATTATTAGTGTTTATAAGAACTGCTATATTTTCCCCAGGCACAGAGGGTGGGGCCACTAACTACCAAGTTAAACAAATGGAGCAGCAAAATGAGCGACTGAAGGAGGCCTTGGTTAAGTGAGTAATTCAGTTGTTTTAATATAGGTTCCTTGCTGTGCAGTTAGAAGTTGAAATTAATTGATAATGATTTTATCAAACTGTAACATTAGTCTTTGTCCAGTTTTACTTGGTTTGCTGTATATATAACTTAACTGAGGACTGCTTTACTTTAGGATGAGGGACCTCTCTAACCAAGAGAAACAAGAACTTTCTCAATTAAAGAAACAGCTGGACCTGAAAACAACAGAGATCAATAATTTGACCAAGGATAAAGACAGACTGACAGAAGAAGTCAAGGAGTTACAAGATCAGATATTGGAAATTCAAGAACAGGTAGAATTTTCTTCTCATGATTGCATTTGGTCTTTTATATTTAATGCCAAAATGATGACAAGAGTGCTATTATACTTCAAAATTTATATATCACTGATTAATACTGATTGTCCTAAATTGTCTCAACTGTTTACTAGGTTGATGCTGCAACTGGTGCTGAAGAAATGGTTGAAAATCTGACTGATAGAAACCTTGCTTTAGAAGAGAGGATTCAAGAGTTGGAGGAAGAGAGAGCAGACCTGGTAGGTGAACATTTGCCTACCTGCTATTTATTTCTGCTTGAATCGAGGTGCATTGCACTCTTAACAACTTGCTTTACATCAAAACATCCTTTGCACCAACAATTTAAATATCAGTTGAATTTTTGAAAATGTCCCTTCACTTTGGTGTTGTATATATTCCATGTCATTAGTTGATATTTTGACTACAAAATTTTCTTATTCTCCATCTAGGAAGCGCTACATGAAATGAACGAGGAACTCCAGGAGACAGCAAGGGAAGGAGAGCTTGAACTGAGAGAGGAACTTGACCTCACTAGGGCAAAAGTTCATGAAGTAAGGCTAGCATATAAATGTGTGGCTATAGTTTTGCATGGTCACCTTACAGTCATATGTAAGTTTAGCTTGATATTGTCATAATTAAGTACAAAAGCCAGAAAGATGTTTTTACTTTTAGTTAGTAAATTTTTACCTTTATCAGGCTCAAAGGAAATTGGATGCCACCCAAGAGACTATAGCAGATTATGAAAGCACCATTGCCAAATTTAGAGAGCTGGTTGCACAACTTCAGGTAAAATTGATTTAATTATTTTTTTTCTTCGGTTGAACTTAAGTGAGAGGGAGAGTGGGTATTCAATAAACATTAATGCTTCACGTCTCTTTACTGTTCAAAACATAAGTGTATTAATGCCAAACAGTTTTATTTTTACTTATTCTGTTGTGGTGGTGTGAATGTCATTTATTTTATTTTCAAACCATAAGTATCCTGCTAATGCTTTAAGATTTTACACAAATTATTATTTGTATTCCAGGAGGCCAACCAGGAGCTGATGAACAAGCAGGTTGAGACAGTGACACAGAAGCAAGCACCACCTATTGAAATGTTTGACTTCAAATCCAAATTGATTGAGACCAAGGCATTTGCCAAAGTAAGTGTTTGTGTCATTCAAGCACATTATATAAAGTTCCTAGATTTCTATGCTGGTGTAGAAATAACATCCAATTTTGTACACAAGATAGTGCTTCAATTATTGAATATGTATGTCTTGCTTTCTTCTTCTGTCTTTATGTTTAGGCAGATCTTTGTAGTGTTTATGAAAGATGATGTCACTTCATGCACAATGTATGTGAAATTTTACATGCTGCTAAAAAGAAACTTTTTGACTCTCTGTTTAAAAATTTTTACAAACCATAAGTTTCATCAGTGTAATATATATTATATCATTTTTATGCTTTAGGCTATTGACATGGAAATACGTCAGTTGGATGTGAAACAGGCCAACAAGCATGTGTCCCTTCTCTGCTCCTTCATGCCTGAGAGTTTCATAAGAAGAGGAGGTAGGTATACATATACATATACTCAAGTTAAAAGTTAAGACCAATAAAGGTTATAACTCTCCTCAGTGATAATGCACATGTTTTCTACTTCACCTTGTTTCCAAGTAAATGTGAAAATTAAGCCTATTAAAAACTGAATTGATTTCCATTATTTGCATTGCTCGTTTATGGGTATTTGAGGAAAAAATTAATGTCGAAGTGCTATCTTTATTCCAGGAGACCATGATGCCCTTCTTGCCCTGTTGCTAATACCCAGGTTGATCCAGAAAGCTGACCTATTGATCAATCAAGCTAGATCAAAGGTTAGATGGGTTATAATATATTATGGGATTTTCTTTAATCAAAAAGCATTTGATGTTTATTCAAATGAAATTTGTATGGCAGTGATTTGAGGGAGAATGTAGAAATGACAATGTCATAGTTTTTGAGATTAAATGGAACATTTTTCTGTAGCTAACTCTCAAATCTTTTCTTTGTTAAGGCAAACTTTTTTGTCAGTTGATCTCTTTGAACAGCCTATACTGTTTCTTGCAGCTGTGTTTACTTTTATTTTATAGTGAATATATATAAGATACTCTTTCTTATATTCCAGTTTGAGGCTCCAGAATCCATAACAAGAGAGCAGGTTCTCAAAAGCCCCAAAGCAGAGCAGTACAGCTATGGATGCCAGTTTGTGCACATGCTAAGTATATTACAGAACAATCTCCACCAATATGAGAGGTATGTAACAACTTTTTTTCATTATTTTTTTTATTAAGTTTCTTGGAATTTAGAATTATGAAAAAATGTAACAGTTAATACTGTATATTCTTGGGAACTTCTTATGCATACATCTTTTTCTTATCATTATTCAAAACAGTTTTTCTTGTACTCCAAAATAGTTGCTGAACTACTTCAGTTTTTAAATTTGCGTGAAATACTTCCTTACTTTTTGACTGTATATTTACTTTCTCCTACTTCAGTGCACTGAACACTTGTAGTGTTGAACTCTTCCTGAAGGTGGGAACACTGTTGCCAGAGATGGCTATCCATGAAAAGCACCTAGACCACTACATTGAACTGCTAAGGAAAGATCAGCTCGATGAAACGGTCTCATTAGAGAATTTAGAGAGGTCAATCTCATATTTCCATGTGAGTATCATCACTATGATTTATAATAATCATAGACATTATACTATAATTGTCATGCTTTGAATTTGCTTGATATGTGACATTTTAGATGTTCACAAATAATATTTTTCCAATGGAAGAATTTATATTTCTCTTAATGGTTGTAACAGTTGGTTGAATTTAAGTTGTCCCTTAGATAAGTATATATCTGCAGCAAAGATTAATATTTGGGTATGTGAGGTATGTGCAGTTAAGATCTTTTTACATGACAGTTACAGTGAACAACTTTCCTTTTTTTTCCCTCAAAGCATATATATGAATATAGAAAAAGGTCATTTGAAAGTAATGAAAACATAACAATACATTTCTTCTGGTTTACCATTCTAGCACCTGTATAGTGTTCACCTGGCCCAGGAGAAGGTTGACCAGACTGTGCTGATGGCAGATCATGTCAAGCAGATTCTCAATGCTTGTGACTGTGTCAGTGTAGACATCACCAGACTCAAGCTACTGCTACAGGTAAATGTCTATTACATAGGGTGGTATGATGATTATCCTTCTTGTGTTAGCATCGAGGGTACACTTAGTTTTAATAGAGCACTTTATTTCATCTGTAATGTAATCAAAAAGGGAAAAAGTGACGTATTTGCATTTAGCTAATATGATAGCATGCTGCAGTTTACTACTATATTTTTTTCAGCCAAAACAAGAAACCAGTGATATTTCCATTTTGTTGAAAGATCTTGAATCCTACTGCAATGATACTAGACTGGCTGCAAGAAAGGTAAGACTATGTTGAATATTAAATGTGTATATTTAAGGTAGTGAACAATACTGGGTCAGTTTTAAAATTATTTTACATTTTACATTTTAAAGGAGGTGACGATTTTTAAAATACCTAAGTCAGTGTTTTTATATGTTTTATCTCTAGATCAAGCGTCGCGTTCCACAACAGGCCCAAGAAAGCATGAGTGCACCACTCTCATATGGAAAGGAGGTAAGTGCAGTCTCCATTGATTATATATTTAATTTAATTCAAACATTTAATATCCTATGTTGAATTTGGAGCAGAAATCAGTTAATATAGTATACTTGATTAAGATGTCTTTGTCTTGTACCTACATTGTGGATGTGAGATATCTTTTTACTTAATTGTCAGATGTCAACAATTTTGTGGATGGGCCCTACATTTGTTTAATTTTCACAAATGTATAAGTTGTATGGTTTTTTACCTATCTGCAAACACTGATTTTTTGTGATGTAAATCTAGGTTCAGGAGTCTATATTGGCCTGTGGGAAGAATATGAATCATATTGTGAAGGTGCTCCATCTGATGGGAGGGGAGGCCATGAAACAGGTGGCCTTGATTACAGGTAGGAATTGTGCTGTGCAGGTGTTAAAAAGTCTGTGTTATATATCAAATCAAATCAGTAAATGCAATATGATGCCTGTTTTCACAAGATTCAAAATCACTTTTTTTATCTCAAATGCTCCAAGATGTGCAATTGGATAACCATTTGTTGAATGAAATACTTCCTTCCTTGTTGAAATACATGCATTTTTACCAAAGTGCACCACAAAACTTGTTGTATTATAAATTTTGTCTCGTAAAAATTTATGCTTTGAAGATATGTTTTCAGGATACTCTTTGCTTTCACTGTTTTTATTTGACATTAAAAAAGCTCAGAAAGATTGTCATTTATTGCATTGTTTTATTGACCAAAAGCTTTTTCCATGTTGGCTCACTCTCAGTTACAATTTCATATAAATCTGGGTAATGTTTTATGATACCACTCTGAGAGTCAGTGTTGCCAGGAGTCGGGTCTGGGGCGGAATATAGCTTTAGTTGTTTTACATATCTTCCATATCATTGGTATTGTGATCATTAATGATTTTGCATTCTAGGACATGCCCTTCACACACTGAAAGGTTGGCTGAGTGGTTATTGTTCATCCATAGCTTGCCTTTTTTGTTATACTTTTGCTTTTAAGCTTTGGAGGCCTGTGCATTTTTTGTAATGTCTGTGAAACTGCAGTAATTACTGCTTATGTATTGTGGATTTCTTATCTGTTGGACTTCATTGTGCTGTTGTTAGTTCAACTTTTTTTTTTTTTTTTT